TGATATCCCAGCTGCTGTTTCTTTCCCTCTGCAGCTCCTGAAGCTCTGGGGAACCTCCCAGCTCGCTGTGCCCTCAGGAATATCCCAAATAAATCGGTGAAACCCACTGGAAGGTGACAGCAATCACCAAATTCCATTTAGTAAGGAATTAGGAATCCAGTCGCTTATGTACCTGGGAAAGGTCTGTCTGGATCAGATTTAAAAAAATGGATTTTTTTGGGAGCACTGGGCCAGAGGAAGATTCTGGAAACTCAAGATGGAAAAATGGAAGTTGGTTTGTCCGCGAGGAAAATTTCCTGTAGCCCCAGCACAGTTTGATTTATTCCTGACACTCCTGGGGAATAATATATATATATATATATATATATATATATATATATATATGTGTATATGTGTATATACATATATGTGTATACATATATATATAATGGGTTTAAATTTTCGTATTTATTTATTTTATATATTAATTTTTATATTTAAATATAAATAAATATAAATTGGGTTTATAAATAGAAATCAATTTAAAATAAATACATTATAAATAAAATGCATATAAATAAATTGAAAATAAATACATTTTATTCTGTGTCCTCATTCCCTGCTCAGCTCCTGACCCAAGGAGCAGCATTTGGCCTGGATTTTCTGCTCCCTTTACCTGCACACAGGAATTTCCCCCTGCTCCTGAAGGTGTTTGGGGGCTTTGCTGCAGAGCAGAGGACGAGATGACAAACGAGCCAGCCCTCAGCACAGGAATGCAAGAGAGTCTCAGCTATTTTTAATTAAGAAGCGATGACAGCTGACTGAATTCCCTGACAGGAACGGCTCCCTGACCCAGACACCGTGGGCCACCCTCCTGTTGGAACCCAGGACAATCCTCTGGCTGCCCTGGAGGGCTCCAGACCCTGGAGGGGGCTCAGAGACCTTGGCATGGAGGCAAAACCACCTGAGCCTTTGATTTTAACCCATGGAAACAATTCCCAACTTTGTGTGGGCCACGAGAGTCTGAGTAGAATGATAGTGAATTTATCACAGGGTGAAAATGTTGAATTTTGGGGATTTTGGAATGGGGGTTCAGGAAGCAGGATGGAGGGATTTGGGTGGGAATTCCTCTGGCTGCCCTGGAGGGCTCCAGACCCTGGCAGGGACTGAAACCTTGGCAGGGAGGCAAAACCACCTGTGCTTCAATTTTAGCCCACGGGAACAATTCCCAACTTTTTGTGAGGAGTTACAAGCCACAAGAGTTTGAGTAGAATGGCAGTGAATTTATCACAGGGTGAAAATGTAGAGTTTTGGGGTTTTTAGAATGGGGGTTCAAGAGGCAAGATGGAGGAATCTGAGCAAGTCCTGTCCTCCTTTTTGTTCTTCTTGGCCTCCATCTTCTGCTGTGATGTTGGCACCTTTGGATTGGTTAAGAGTAGAAGCTCACTGTCTAACACGGGTGATAGGTGTTGGGAAGTTATGGTAAATAATGAACACGTAGTTTTTAGTATAAAAAGATAACACCAGTGTGCCTCAACCCGACCTGCCAGACAGACCTCAGCAGGTCAGAGAAAGAATGTCATAGATAAGAGAAAGTAACCTTGAAAACCAGAACTGAGGAATCCCAACTTCTCTGAGCGTGAGGCTGGAGAAAAAAACTTTTTAATACCTCAGGGGCCATTCCAACAACTCAAAACCTGAGACCCTCTGAAGGCGGGTTCCCATCAGTCCCAACGGTGGTGCTGTTATTTATAATATAAATCATAAATTTATCTGCACATCTGCACAGATGCAGGGCTCACCAAAGCCACCAGCCTGCAGACCCTGCCAGGAACGTGGCCAGGCTGAGCAGCAGGAGCAGGTGAGGGGAGGACAGCCAAGGTCACCCTGCTGGAAGCGCCAGTGCTCGTCTCTGAGAAATGTTCTGGAGGTTTGGACAAATTCAGCTGTTATTTTCATTTATTTTGGTTGGTGAAAGCAGTGGTGGTTTGAGCAGGGGAGAGGCACAGAGGCACAAAGAGCAATTCCTGCTGTAAGGCAGAGAAGGGACAAGGCAGGATGGGCTTTTCTCAGGGATGGGTTTTTGTCACCCACAGGTCACAGGGAGGGTTTAGCTGGGACTGACCAACGTGAGCTGGATTGTGAAGGGCAGGGATTCACCTGGCTTCATGCAAGGACTCCGTGGCAGAGATGGGAGCACAGCCCAGGTGTCCAGCTCGCCCTGGCACAAGAGGCTGGCACAAAAGTGGCACCAGACACCCCTGGGAAGGTGTCAAGAGGAAAACACCAACCACAAAGAGAGAAAATGAGACTCCCTTTTGTTCTCAGGGCTCTCACAGCAGCGAATCCAGCAGCTGATCTCTTTACCTGGAGCTCACTTGTCGGTTTTAGCAGGGAGATAAAGGAAAAGTTCCCTTCCAGCCTTTCCAGAGGGCCTCAGGGAGGAGGGATGAGGCAGCAAAGTCACCCAGATCACGTAGGAACTTGGCACGAGCGAGACAAATCCATTAAGGGCCATCATCAGGAACTTTCCAGGCTGGCTGCAGGCTGGGAGGGGGCAGAGCTGCTCGGTGCTGTTGCTAAGAGAGCCCCCCCAGCCCTGCTGTGCCAGCCCAATCCTCGGCTCCCTGCTCCCATTGGCTCCGCAGCCGCATCGAACCATCCTGACAGCTTCTCCTCCTCCTCCTCCTCCTCCTCACCCTGCTGCCTTCTGCCTATGGCCTATCACCAGGGGAGAGCCAGCCAGCCACGGAATCAATACTTTGTGCGTTTGCATTTGCATTCCAGCCCTGCCTGCCCGTGTCCCTGCATCCCCAGCCGTGCCCACGGAGAGCAGGGGTGCCAGGCTGGCACCTGCAGTGCCACAGCCAGCAGCACCCAAGGACCAGCAGCATCCTGACCGTGTTCACGGGGGTCTGAGGATGAGGGAAGAGATGAGGATCTGACTCCATGTTTCAGAAGGCCGATTTATTATTTTATGATATATATTATATTAAAACTACACTAAAAGGATAGAAGAAAAGGTTTCACCAGAAGGCTGGCTAAGAATAGAAAATGAAAGAATGATAACAAAGGTTTGTGTCTCAGACAGAGAGTCCGACCAGCTGGCTGTGATTGGCCATTAATTAGAAACAACCACATGAGACCAATCCCAGATGCACCTGTTGCATTCCACAGCAGCAGATAACCATTGTTTGCATTTTGTTCCTGAGGCCTCCCAGCTTCTCAGGAGGAAAAATCCTAAGGAAAGAATTTTTCATAAAAGATGTCTGTGACACTTCCAGGGCTCTGCTCAGAGCCAGCTTCCTCCCAGCAGCCTGGCTGAACTGGTGTCCCCAGTTTGGTGCTCACTGGACACCAGGGAAGTGTCACAGCACCGTGAGTGAAGCCCTCTGCAGTGAGATTTTAGGAAGTTTCTTGGTCTGAAGGGATCTGGAGGCCTTCTGGAGCAGGCAGAGAGTGTGGGAACACAACCCAAAGCCAGAAAGCTTCCCTGGTTGGATCAGGTGCTGCTTGGGCACATCCAGGCTGCGGAAATTTGGGAGCAGGGACATCCTGGTGGTGGGCAGTGAGACACAGCAGCACTGGGACAGCTCAGCAATACCGGTCAGGATTTGGGAGCAGGCACAGGGAAGGGACAGGGGAGTTGGGACAGGTTTCCATCACCCAACAAAACAGGCTGGGACTGACACTGGGCATCCAGGAAACACCAAACACCCAAATATTGTCCCTGGCTTTGGGACAAAGTGGGAGAAAGAGCTCACTGAGCGGTGACAGAGAGCTGGGGACCAGGACAGGGGTGAGGAGCTCACAAAGCAGAGCCAGGCAGCTGATGAGCTGTCCCCAGGCACGCTGGGACACCAGTGAGCAGCAGCCCTGTGGCTGTTTGCCTTCCCCACTCAGGTGAGTCACATCCGGACTGAGGAAGAAAAACTGGAGTTTCCTTTTCTGTCCAGGACAGCAAGAGGTCAATGAACCCAGCAGAGCCATCCGCAGTCCCCTAAATACCAGATTTTCCCAACCTGGACCTTCCCCTTTCTCTCTGCCACAGTTAGGCAGAGTTCTAACCCAGACTGTTGTAAAATAACACAAATTGTTGATCAGGACAGGAAAATCTCCTCAGAAAATTTCCACTGCTAAACCTATTTATTTGTGTCAGGGGTGGGGGTGGCTGGACACAAAACACCAGGTCAGTTTAAAAAAAAATAAAGTCTGACCTGAATAAAGCATTTTTATGAAATCCCCAGAGATGGTTCCTTTAATATGAGATGGAACTTGGAGTTGAAAGGAGGACAGAGAAGAAAAGAGCGCGCATAAAAGTCAGGTTCAAATCCCTGCTTGGCCTCACTCGGCAAAGAGCTCTGAATTAGGTCTGAAGTTACTTAAACAGCTTCAAATATTTTGGGTTCTCTCTGCAGTTCCTATGATCTGAGTTTCATCCTGAGGCAGAACAGCAAGAATGTTCTGAGCTCCCAAAACCGGCCACGACTTCGGACAAACGAATTAAACCCAGCTTCAAAACAAATCTAATTTTTTTTTTTTTAATTTTTGGAGTTTCTGCAGTGCGGAGATGTCTGCCCTGTGGTTCCTCCCAGTTGTGTGTGCTCAAACATGGAAGAGAATCAATGGGCTGGAAGGAGAGCTGCAGTTATTTTTCTATCTCTGCACCATGTGAGGCTCTCCCTGTTGCCTTGAAGAGAAGCATGAAATTAGGCAAAAGCCAGGGTGATAAAATGAACCCAAATAAGAACTTAAATTGAGTTAAACCTGTTGTAGCTACTCAAGACAAAGCCTCTGAATTCAGCTTTTCTGAGCAATAAAATCCTTTTAAATAAAATGAAAGCTCTCAGTGTAATTTTAGGGTAAATGTTCCTGTAGGAATCTTTTCCTGATGGAATCTTTTCCATCCCTGACATCCTGGCTCCAAATTCTTCTCCTTCCTGTTACTTCCTACAGGAACATTCACCTGGACATGTTAGGTTTGCTGTAGTTGGCAAAAAAAAATAAAAATTCAGATTCTTACCAGGAATATGGAAATATCCAGCAGAAGTCAGAGCTGGGATGGAGCACCTGCAGAAACAGCAAGGAGATGAAGATGAAGGTGAGGAATAATGTGATTAATATTGAGAATATCCAGCTGATATGATGGAAATCCCAACCCAGCAGAGGGAAAATCGTGCCCATGGCTGAGTTTCCCTTTTCAGGATGGATTTGCCTCCAGCCCAGCATTCCAGGATTCCTCTCCCCACCTGCCTGGCACAGCTGATGGAGAACAGGAGCCAAGAAACCTGAGAGCCATTCCTGAGCCAAGGACTGTTCCCAGCTCCCTTCTGCTTTCAGATTCCCCGTTCAAAAGATAAAACCCCCAAAATATTCATTTTCCCATCTCCCTTGTCTCAACAGCCATTGAAATATCAGCTGCCTTGGATTTTTTGTTCTAAGAAATGGTTTTCCATGTGCATTTTGGAATTTTTGACAGGAGAAACCAAGCCAGGGCTGCAGCCCTGAAGGGACCTGATCCCTCCCTGTCTGCTCCTGGTTTGCTCCCCAGCCCCATCCCATGGACACAATTCCTCAAGAAGCTGGGATGGGTAATAAAGCCAAACCACAGGAATTGTCCCCATCACTGCTCCGTTCCTCTGATGCCAAAATCTCTCCAAACTTCAATTTCATCTTGAAATAGTCCACAACAAGGTGCTATAATCCCATTTTGGTGTTATAAAGAGGTGCAGCAGAGTGCTAAGGATTGTTCCAGGCTATAAAAACAGCAGAAAAAAATAAAACCAAAGCCCTGATTCCTGATCCAGAGCCACTCCTCCATCCCAGTGGAAAACATTGTTCCCTAGGATGACTAAAAATGTTGGGATTTTCTGTGAAATCGAGTGGGATGCTTAAAATTTGAGGTGAAACACCCAGCCCAGCATGGGAAACTGTAAAAGGGGATAGAATATCCCAATTTCCTGAGCTCTGCTCCCATAAACAGCTTCACAACTTGTTTCCCACACAGGCACCTGGATTTGGGGCCAGGGAATAAGAGTTTGTACATGGTCCTGTTTTCCCTTTCCCTTTCCATCCATCCATGGCCAGAATGTAAAATCCATGCGCAGAAATATCCATGTGCATATCAAAGGTATTAAAATCAGAAGGGACTTTGATGTTGGACTCGAGAAAACGTTCATGACACCGCGCAGAGCTGTGGGAATGAGCTGCCTGCTCAGAAATCCAAGGGTTTGGAGGACAGACCTTTCCTCAAGGTGCTGCTTCCCACCCATCACCCACTCAGAAAAATGAATTTCCCATGGTTAAACCTTGGCCTCTTTTTTGGGCTTGTGCCACCCCATGAAACTGTCCCCATATCACCACAACAGCCCAGAATAATTAGAATTTTGGTAATTAGAGGCATATCTGGATGCCTTTGGTGCCAAACCAATTCTCCCACAAATGACCCTTAAAGCAAAATAAATCAAAAAAGAATAAGCAAGAAAAAACCAACTCTCTGCACTCATTTGTTTAGGATGACAGATCAACAAACACAGGCATCTTATTTATTTATTTTTTTTCCTTCACAAGCAGCTTTTTATATCTCCTGGCCCAAAATAGGCCCAGCCCCAGCTGCAGTGCCATGTCAAACAGTAATTACTCTATAAAAGGCTGACCAGATGGGGATATTGGTGGGCCAGAGGTGCAGAATTATTTTAGGATCACACAAATTTTCTCTGGGAGTGGTGAGAGGAGCTGTGGGCACGGTGGTGCACCTAAGAAACCAACAAACACCAGAGGGGGTTTTATTTTTCCTGCTTGCTCTAAGCCTCAGCACCTGGTGTGAAATGGCTTTCCCAAATTTCAGCTCAAGGGAAAAAAAAAAAAAATTTAAAATAGAAGTGAGATCTGTTTACTCCTCAAAAAGAGTCTTTGCTCTGTGACAGGTTTGGAATTCCTGCTGAACCTCACCAACACTTGTGGCAGAATGGAAGCAGAACCCTTGGGGTATTTCATTCTGCTGAGAGGAAACAAAAAATAATTAAAAAAAATAATAATAAATCAAGTCTCATAGAATTCCCAGAATAGTTGGAGGAGATCTCAAAGCTCATCCAGTTCCATGACAGGGACACCTTCCTCTACCCCTGGTTGTTCAGAGCTCCAGCCAGCTCAAGGATGCACTTGCTCCTGATTTTTTGGCAATATTTTGGCCATATTTTGACAATATTTAGGCTCCCTGAATCCCTCTTGCTGAGCTCCTGATTTCGGAGCCCCTAAATCCCAACTCCCTCAGACTTTCCGATGGAAGGAACCTGAATCCTGTTACCCTGTGGGAGGCTGGGGAATGTCTGTGGGGAATCCTAGACAGAGTCAGTGTTTGAGAGGGGCAGCGCTTGGTTCAGAAACTTGTTCCTGGGTTTTGGCGATATTTTGGCAATATTTTGACTGGAATCCTTCCTGCTGAGCCTAAGGGAGGAGGATCCCTAAATCCCGAGTCCCTCATCCCTCAGACCTTCAGGAACCTGAATCCTTCGCCTGCCTTGTGGGGAATCCTAGAGAGGGTCAGTGCCTGAGAGGGGCAGTGCTTGGTTCAGGAACTTGCTCCTGATTTTTGGCAATATTTTGGTAATATTTTGACAACATTTGGCAATATTTTGGCCATTTTTTGACACTCTTTAGGCTCCCTGAATCCTTCCTGCTGAGCCTAAAGTAGCAGGAACAGGAGCCCCTAAATCCCAACTCCCCCATCCCCTCAGACCTTCAGGAACCTGAATCCTGTCTCCTGCCTTGTGGGGAAGCCTAGAGAGGATCACTGTTTGAGAGGGGCAGTGCTTGGTTCAGGAACTTGCTCCTGATTTTTGGCAATATTTAGACAATATTTAGGCTCCCTGAATCCTTCCTGCTGAGTCTAAAGGAGCAGGAGCCCCTAAATCCCAACTCCCTCATCCCCTCAGACCTTCAGGAACCTGAATCCTGTGGGAAGATGGGGAATTTCTGGAGAATCCTAGCGAGGGTCAGTGTCTGAGAGGGGCAATGCTTGGTTCAGGAACTTGCTCCTGGTTTTTGGTCATATTTTGGCCATATTTGGACAATATTTGGCAATATTTTGATAATATATAGGCTCCCTGGATCCTTCCTGCTGAGCTCCTGATTTAGGAGCCCCTAAATCCCAAATCCCCCATCCCCTCAGACCTTCAGGAACCTGAATCCTGTCTCCTGCCTTGTGGGGAATCCTAGAGAGGATCACTGTTTGAGAGGGGCAGTGCTTGGTTCAGGAACTTGCTCCTGATTTTTGGCAATATTTCGGCAATATTTGGACAATATTTTGACAATATTTAGGCTCCCTGAATCCTTCCTGCTGAGTCTAAAGGAGCAGGAGCTCCTAAATCCCAACTCCCTCAGACCTGCAGGAACCTGAATCCTGTCACTCTGTGGGAGAATGGGGAATTTCTGGGGAATCCTAGAGAGGGCCAGTGTTTGAGAGGGGCAGTGCTCGGTTCAGAAACCCTGCAGGAATCAGTGGAACTTTTCCAGCTTCCAAAACATCCCTCCTCCTTCTGCCCCGGGCAAACAGGGCGAAAAAGGAAAGTGGTTTGGTGAGTAAGAACACGGCAAATTCAAAATAGAAGCAGAGGGGATTAAAGCAAATACCCAGAGTGTCCCAAGCTGTGTTTACTGCCCAAATCCTGTGGCAATTCCTGCCTTTTTCAGGGGGTTCTTCCTGTGTTGGAACTTTGGGATTTAACTTGGCCACTGCAGTTCCCAGGAGGGAAAAGCTTCTCAAAGCCATCCTCCAATCTCAGAGCCCAAGGCACCAAACTGCACATGGAATTTTGCTGGAAGGGCTGGGAGAAAGTGACAGCATCTGCCTGATGTGAAATTCCCGTCCTTAATTAGGGATTTCAAAAATAAATCCAGTTTTCTGAGCAGGATGGTGGGTGTCAAAAAAAAAAATAAAAGGAGGTTTTAATGATCTCAGTGAGAATCAAATTTTCCACTTAATATGTGTTTTTGCACCCAGGAATTTCATAGAATCATGGAATTATTTGAGCTGGAAGGGTCCTTAAAGATTACCCATTTCCCATCCCTTAAATTCAATTTAAAAAATTGTGGCAGCAGTGGGTTTGTGTGATAAAAATATTACACAAATAAATCTGAGTTTAAAAGTTCCTGAGCTCTGAATTCTCAGTTCAATTCCCAGCTGGCACCAGGAACAAAAGGCTGATGGATGGAACATCTCACCTGTACACAGCTCCTGCTCAGGCTGGTGGCCAGTGGGAAGGAGATGGGTTTGGGATGGCAGATTTTCTCTGTGCTTCTCAAAAAAGGCTTCACCAGCACTGGCAGACCCTGCAAAAGAAGGGAATTCATGGTTAAATTAGAAATTAACTCCAGATTTTCCTCAGCTACTGGAGAGCCCAGCTCTGGTCACGTGCTGGGAGTGGCCTCCATGTGAATATTTTCTTTATTTCTTTCCTCTTTGGATATCCCTGATTCTGCAACATTCCTCTGAATATAACTGAGGCAAGAACAACACAGAAATTGCAGGATAATTAAAGAAAATCATGGAGAATAAATCCACATACCCTGTGTTCCACAATGCTGGGGTTATTCTTTCTCCCTCAGTCTGCCACCAGCACTCGGCTACATGGGAGAAAAAGGGATTGAAATGAAATTAAATTACATTAAATACCATGTCGTGTTCACTATTAACACCTCCTGAACCTCTCACTCTGTGCCATAACCCAGATTTTAGGGACTATAAAGAACTGGCAGCAGGCTCAGACCTGGGCTAAGCTCTGAATTTAAACCCAAGCCATAAAAACAGCAACCAAAACCCCAAATTCTGTAAAAGTTACCCCGGCCCCAAACGCTCCTTGCAGACTTTAGAGGTGAGAGATGTGACAGATGGCTGCTCCTGATGCAGCACCTCTGTACAAATATTGTACTGTGCAAATATTCATCAGCTCATTCCTGCCACAACCGTGTCAGGTAAGATCATTAACACCACCCCTAATTTCCCTGATAAGTAGGCTGAGACAGGAGGGTGGAGAGCAATGTCTAAACTGAAGCAGTGAGTAACAAAGAGAGCTCTGAGCCATCCTCCCCTCTCAGAGTCCATGCAGGGCTTTTATTTTTTAATTATTTTCCCTGTTTAATTCAAAAAATGAAATCTTTGGGACAGTTTGACCCCGTGCCAGCTGAAGTTTGACAGCAGAAAAAAAGCAAACAAACAATGGATTTCAGCTCACACCAGAACTAATGAAGCATTGATGTTGCACTGAAATGGGGCTTAGCTTAAGTATCCATTTTTAACTCTCAGCTGAAGTGAAAACATTAATTCATGCAAATCAATGTTCCCTAAACAATAATTTTCCTCCAGAACGTTTCTTCTTTTTTAACATAAACTCTTATCTAACAGAACCCATTTAAAGGATTATATCTGCAGAGTTCAGCAATTAGCTCTGTAAATTGTTTTCCTTGAGTGTAGGGAAGGTTCCATTACACAGTGAAATATAAAGTGTATGCTATAGTCCATGAAAACCTCTCTTGGAACGATGATTATCCTTCAAAAAGGCTGGGATGAGGGCCAGATTACCAGAAAGAAATCAAGTTCTGTTTGTACACCCAAAGTCCCCCTTTATTTCATCTAAGTATCCACTTGCAGCCCATCTTCAGGGGTTTTGAAAGGTAATTGCTTCTGTGGAACACCCACAGGTCGAATTTTCCCTAAAACACAGCCCTGAAAATCCACTCTGAGGGATAAACAAGCAAATCGGAGTGTACAGGAAACAGGGGAGGATGTGCATCAAACAGCCCAAAAAAAGGTGGGAAACGGCACTGAGGGTGCTTCAGATGCTGCTGGAAGTGAGGATGGAGAGGCTCCTCCTCATCTGACTGCAAATCCAGAAAATCTCTGAAAAGATTTGTAGAACAAAAGCGCACGGGTGTAAAAGATGGCTGGAAGTCACCTGAACCATCACTCAAATAATGGATTAACTAAAAATGGAATCAAGCTTGAAGATCCTCAGGATTACAGAGATGCCACAGCCTCGCTGAGCTGCACCACCCTCCCAGGTCTGGGGCTCCTCCTCTCCTCAAATCCAACCAGAATTTCTCCTGGAGTGACAGAAGGGTTTTTTCCTGTGGTTTGAAGGCAGCTTCGTTCAATCAGGGCACTCATAGGTGACACCACCACAACACCCTGAGCCTCAAGATCCTCCTTGGCACAAAACACAGCCCCTTCTCCTTGTTTTCCATGGATGCCGTGGTCAAAGAGTTGTATGCGTCCATCCATGAATCCATCATCCATCCATCAATCCATCCATCATCCATCATCCATCCATCATCCATCCATCCATCCATCCATCCATCCATCCATCCATCCATCATCCATCCCTGTATCCATCCATCCATCCATGGATCCATCATCCTTCCATCATCCATCCAATCGTCCATCCATCCATCCATCCATCCATCCATTGTCCATCCATCCATCCCAGCAATCCAGACCCTTCCAGCAAACCCTGATTCAAGTCCTCGATCCCGAAACCCCAATTCAATCCAAGTCCTGGAACACACCCGAGGTGGTGCCAGGCACACAGGGAGGACAAATTGCCCAGAAGAAAATCCAGGAACCCCAATTCCTCATCTTCCCTGTTACCTGTGACACCAAACATCTTCTGGGGATGGAGAGAGAAGCAGAGCTCCTCACGCAGAGCAGTCCCACGGGATCTCAGCCCAGCTGACCAATTTTGGTGCCTCCCAGAGCTTCCACCATTTCCACCAGTGAAAATCCAACTCGGAGCAGCCACAAAACACAGCCCTGATTTATTCCAAACCCATTCTATTTATCGCTGTCACTTCTCTTTGCCATGCCAACATGCACACGCTCAGGAGACAGACACATTTCCATGCTCTCAGCTGGGAATCGTGTTCCTGCAAGGCTGGTGGATGATGCACAAACTGTCTCTATTTGTGTCCCCCCGTCTCAGATGGCAGGGTGCCCACCAAGCAAGCTGATTATCACTTGCCCTGGGCTATCAAGGCAAGGCAATGGTATGTTTAGATCAGCAAACTGCATAACAATATAAATGTCATCTATTCCACGAGAAGCTTTGGCAGGGTTTTGCATCTCGCTCCTCTTTGCGGGGACGTGCCAAAAAGGAACACGAAGGCTTGCAGGAGGAAAGGGGGGCACGGGGTTCCCACCCCTTCCTGCCTGCCAAAACACATTGTGGAGCGCTGGGTGTCTCGTTGTCATCCCCCAGGACCATCCCAAGGTGTCAGATGATCCATGAACGCCCTGGTAGGGATATAAATATACAGAGAGAGCTCCTTTTTCTGCTCAGCCAGGCTCAGAGGCAGAAATGAGGCACAAGCAGCGCGGCTGGCACAGCTCAGGCCAGGATCTGTACCCTTGCCCAGAAAGGATGGCAGCCAGCCCGAGGATGATGGCCCTGGGTGGGCACTGCCTGGGCACCATCTCTGCTGCAAGGACAGGGCTGCAGCAGTGCCCAGCAGCTCTGGGGGACAATGGGGTCAGGACACTGGGACTGGGACACTGGGATTGGACACTAGGATTGGGACACTGGGACTGGGACACTGGGGTTGGGACACTGGGATTGGGACACTGGGATTGGGACACTGGGCTTGGACACTGCGATTGGTACACTGGGATTGGGACACTGGGATTGGGACACTGGGATTGGGACACTGGGCTTGGACACTGTGATTGGTACACTGGGATTGGGACACTGGGATTGGGACACTGGGACTGGGACACTGGGGTTGAGACACTGGGATTGGGACACTGGGATTGGGACACTGGGAGTGGGACACTGGGATTGGACACTGGGATTGGGACACTGGGATTGTGACACTGGGATTGGGACACTGGGGTTGGGACACTGGGATTGGGACACTGGGAGTGGGACACTGGGACTGGGACACTGGGATTGGGACACTGGGACTGGGACACTGGGATTGGACACTGGGAGTGGGACACTGGGAGTGGGACACTGGGACTGGGACACTGGGATTGGACACTGGGATTGGGACACTGGGATTGGGACACTGGGACTGGGACACTGGGACTGGGACACTGGGATTGGACACTGGGATTGGACACTGGGATTGGGACACTGGGATTGTGACACTGGGATTGGACACTGGGATTGGACACTGGGATTGGGACACTGGGATTGTGACACTGGGATTGGGACACTGGGGTTGGGACACTGGGATTGGGACACTGGGACTGGGACACTGGGACTGGGACACTGGGATTGGGACACTGGGGTTGGGACACTGGGATTGGACACTGGGATTGGGACACTGGGATTGTGACACTGGGATTGGGACACTGGGGTTGGGACACTGGGATTGGGACACTGGGAGTGGGACACTGGGACTGGGACACTGGGACTGGGACACTGGGATTGGGACACTGGGATTGGACACTGGGATTGGGACACTGGGATTGGACACTGGGAGTGGGACACTGGGATTGGGACACTGGGATTGGACACTGGGACTGGGACACTGGGATTGGACACTGGGAGTGGGACACTGGGACTGGGACACTGGGACTGGGACACTGGGATTGGACACTGGGATTGGGACACTGGGATTGGACACTGGAATTGGACACTGGGATTGGGACACTGGGATTGGGACACTGCAGCTCCAGTGGAGAATGGGATCAGGAGACTGGGATTGGGACACTGGGGTTGGGACAATGGGACTGGCACACTGGGGTTGGGACACTGGGGTTAGGACACTGGGATGGGACACTGGGACTGGGACACTGGGATTGGGACACTGGGATTGGGACACTGGGATTGGACACTGGGTTGGGACACTGAACTCTGGTGGAGATTGGGATAAGGACACTGGGATCAGGACACTGGGATTGGGACACTGGGATTGGGACACTGGGATTGGGACACTGTTGGACAGTGGGATCAAGACACTGGGATTGGGACACTGCAGCTCCAGTGCAGAATGGGATCAGGACACTGGGACTGGGACACTAGAGCTCTGGTGGACAATGGGGTTGGGACACTGGGATTGGGACACTGAACTCTGGTGGAGATTGGGATAAGGACACTGGGATCAGGACAGTGGGACTGGGACACTGCAGCTGTCCTGGCACTCTTTAGGATCTGATTCCTGCTGCAGGCCTGTGTGACATGGAATGAGGGGCTGGGGGCAGCTCCTGGTGAGGGAAAGATGTACCAAAAGAGAGAAAAAGGCAGGAAAAAGTACCCAGAAAACCATCCTGGCATGGTGTGCTCAGAGGAACAACAAATTTATATGAATTCACAGCAAAATCCTTTATCCTGGCTACTTATTGACCTGATTGAAGTTTGCTTTTCACAGCAGACACTCCAACCCCTTGAATGAGCCCTTCCCACCCATTTCTGAGCAAGGTTCCTTCTCTGAGATGCTCCTCACTGCTCTGTACAACCCCAGTGCATCTCATTTCTCCATTCAAGTCTTGGGTCAGTGCTGGAACCACGCACAGCAAAATTCCACAGGGCCTCTCCTAAGGAGATTATGCAAAATGTCACTTAGCATAAATTCCTATTTGAAAATGGAAGGGTGTTTTACTTCGTTATGCTAATGAAAAATCAGAAAAGAT